TTATTTTGCCCTTAGGTGTCCTTCACAATGAGATGGGGAAAAGCAGATCCAGACAGATCCACAGGATATCTTTTTTGTAGGACATGTGTTGATTTAGGTACACAAAAGTGCATTAAAAAAAAAAAGAGAATGGACCACTCCGAGGCAGCAACACTTTGCAAAGATATTTCTAGCTTCTAAAGGATTGCAGAAAGTAATCCATATGGTGAAGATTTTAGTCTTCAGGTGTTGGGAATTTTCTGACATGTATTTTTGCCAAAACCCGAGACTATATCTATATTCTCTCTAAAAGTCTGTAATAAATTCTGGCTAATAGACCTAGGACATTTATCACAGGCTTATTTCTCTCTTTTTGTTTTCATACCATGGCTTTATATGGTGCCAGGAAGAAATTTAGAATTAAAACCAGTGCAGTGCAGGATAAAAATCAGTTCAGGCACAAAATCTATTATTGCTACAGCCAAAGTTAAATCCATTTTACATAGGTTTGGTCTGGAAGAGAACTGGATCAAAGAGGGGAAGTTAAAGTACATTTTAGTTTTGCTTGGGAGTTGGATGCTGAAAAGTGCTCAGAGTGGCAATACACATAGATCCCTGGGTAATCCCATTTAAATTGCAAATATAACTTTCAGGTATAGATCATTTGTTGCCTCTTTCATGTCTTGACCTTTATATGGTTTCAGAGAATTAAAAGAAGACACTAAATCCTTTCCAAATTTAACTTGTCAATATGCACAATAAAGAGAAGAATTTGTCTAACAAACTTTGACAGGCATGGTGTATCAGCCATTTTTCCCAATATACACAACTTTTCTATAGTCTGTTTTGTGACAGATGTTGGAGATATATTTTAATTTCAAAATTACAATGATTGCTACAAGATTCATCTGCACCAACGGGATGGGATCCTGTCAGGGTAAGTGGAAAGCACACTCAGCAGGATGTAATACTTAAGCACCTTCTGTTTGAGGATCGTGATCCTAAGGGTAATATGCAGTCCTTGTCCCTTCTCCTTTCCCTTCTATTTCTGGTGGTCTCCACCTCAGGGTCTGCAATGAAATAGGATAAATAACCTCAATGGCATAATTTTGCTTCCTCCCACTCACCAGAGTTCCCTTTTAGCATGAACCAGCTTACAGACTTCACTCATCAGACCTCTGTTCCATGTGACTGCTAGGAAGGTAAATGAAGGAAAGCAAATTTTACCATGGCTGCTAGAATGCTCTGTGAAGGCCTGTCAGCCTGGACTATGTTTCTCTCTGCAAGCAGTATTGGGGGTCCAAGACAACCCCACCAATGATCTGCTTCTTCCTGTCTACTAGTCACTGCAAAAAGACCTGAGATGACACCAGGTCAACAGTGCACATATCACATAGCCCAGCAAACTCCCCATTTCTGAGCCAAACTGTTGTCTAGTCAAAAGAAAGGAATAATTTTCAGTACAATGAATTCTTCAGAGGAAGAAAGCGCTGCACTGGATACATTTCCCAGGTGCATATCAAATATCAAACAATGAATGATTTTATATGTAGGTTTCTTGTCTTTGGACATTTTCCATGCAGTGATTATGGTGTTTCCATTCCACAAAGTCATATATATTTTGAAATATATTTCAGAAAGTGAACTTGGTTGGTTTTGAGGTCACAGGAGACATTCCTTGCCTTTTCTGGATATTTTTTGTTTAGCAAGAATGCACTTAGTATAGAAGGATAAATTATGGGAGCCCATGGGAGCCCGTGCCATATTGTGCAACTCACACAAACACCCATGGGCTTGCAGAGGACAGCTCTGTTTGCTGTTTGTTCAAGAATAAGATCTGGTATTTCTCATACAGGAGGTCATATTACCTTAAAATGCCTGTGCCCTGTAGGTCTGCCTGATGAATAACATCTGCTCCCAAAACAACTGCCTCTCCAGCAGGGGAGATGGGCTCTGTGGCATGACAAAAACCAAAAGTCCACAGGCAATCCAGTACCAAGGCAGCAAGAGGCTACAATAAGAAACAGAAACCTCTCTCTGTGCCTAATACAAACTCTACTGGAGCCAACAGGAAAGAGTCCAGAAGATTTCAGGGGGTATTGGATTAGGGAGTATGCAAACCCCTGTCTCTGCTCATACAATGATAGTACTATCAGCAGCGATGATATGTGTCAGTTAAAATCAAATATTTATCTGCAGCCCTAGACCTTCTCATCAACACTCACAGCAAAACATGGTTCACTTTACAATCACACTGATGCAAGCAAAGGAAGCTTTTGCTGGCATTAGCAATAGGAGATACCTTCCTCCATACTGAAAAAAACTGCAACTGTCAATGCAATTTGCAGTCCAGAACTACCAGCCTTCTTATGGCAGGAAAATTTTGTGCAAAGAGAGATCACGGGGAAAGGGACTCCTCTGTTTGGCTTCCATTCACATTAGCACAGTGAAATGCTATTCCTGTCAAGTAAAATTAGTTTTTAGCTTTCATTCAACTCCTTGCATTCCAGATAGTAAAATTTATACTAAATTATCAGTATATCCAGTACAAGTGGATAAAACTTTCACCTGAAAAGACTTGGGAATAAAGTTAGCTGGCAGGTGGCAATTTGCTTTCACAAGAAGTTTCGAGCTTTTAAAATGAATTTTCCTTCTTCAGTGGAAAGAAAACAGAACAACTGGGCATTTAGTCAAAATTAAATTGTACAGAAACACTTGTTTTCTTATCATAAAGAAGAATTTTTTCCAGCTCTGATCCTCTCTCACTCATTTCCATTTTGCTCCCCCACTCACCCTGTGTCACCGGAGGTAGCTGCAGAGCACTGGATCACAAACTCTTTTCAACTGAATATTTTTTAAAATCAGTACATCTCAATGCATTATTTTGTGCCTTCAACAAAATGGCACTCTGTTAAGAATGTTCTAAAACAACTCTGCTTGAAAGAGGTACTTAGCTTTTCCCCAAAAACTGGTATCTTACCCCTCTAACTGGGCAGCTCAGCTGTGAAGGTTTGGGTGAAAAACACACTGAATTGCTGAAATGACAGTCCTATATATTCAGGGCATCCTGTCTCTTTTTTTGCACAGAGTATAAATTCTGCTACATTCCACTCGGCCTGTTCTTTCTGTGCAAAGCACATATTTAACTAAATTCTTCTTCCCTATTTTGTTCTTTTGAACCTGATCCCAAGGAATTTAGGGATGCACCTGTAATTAGATAAGAGGAAAAAGATATCTGTCTAGCCTTATGTTCCTCTATTTATCCGTGTATTCACTTCAACATGGAATTGACAAACAAATCTTAGCTATTTTTGAAAGCAAAGGCAAATGCATGAGCCCCACCTTCTACCGGTTGTATTTCTTTTAAGTATAAATTGCAAGATCACAAAGTTGCCTCAGACAGAAAACCTTTACTCTGGTATAGCATTTTGACGTTTCCGTGGAGACATACTTGCTTATTTTTCTGAGAGGTCAGAAGGGGTTTTGCTGCTCTGCTGGCATTTTGCATCATTTTTGTTTTGCATCCGAAAAAAAAAAGTGCAGTTCTGAAATGACAGTAAAAATGCATTGCTCCTTTTAAGTGACACGGATTACATATGTTTGTGCATCAGCATGTTAGTCACAGGGGTCAGAGGAGGATTCTTTAATCCTTGATGTATAGAGGAGCTAAACGTAAATGAATTTTTTGCCTTCCTTTTATTGCACCACCAATTTTAGAAGCTCGTTCTTAAAGAAGTGATGCCTTATGAGTGGGGAAAAAAGAGAATATTGTAATTAGAAAAAAAACCCTAACTTCTCTGTCACATCTGGCCTTCATGCCTCAATAATCCCCTGAGCACAGCTCATAAATAATGAGCACTCGAGACTGGCTGTACGATTCCAGTGCATTCTATTGACTTCCAGGGGATGCACAAAAGGATAATACATACCCTGAAGGCAAAAGCATGTGCTGTTTTCTTAGTCTTCTATCAAACATATATTGCTAGTTGTTTAATTACTACTTATTGAGTACTGCCAGTAGGCTCTAAGGGGCACAAAAAGATTTGCTGTGTATAAACAGAACTGATTTTTATCTGTTTCTTTGTTTATAGTTACCCTGCTATCCATATCAGACCTTTTTTCATTCCTTTTTGTGATACAGATTAAAAACATTGTGATTTGAAAAATAATGAGTGAAGTACAAGCGAGCAAGCATCAAGAGATAATCTCATCATGTTAAAATAACCCAAACAAATAACAATGCCTTTTCCAAATGTACAAACACTCAAAAATATCTGAAAGGTAACTTTAACCTCACTGAAACTGGAAAAAAAGATTCAAAATAAATGTATGCTTCTAACTAGATAGCCAGATGCTCAACTAAAGTAAGTTTATAAATTTTATTGACTTCAACAGACTCACCATTTTGTTTATTGGCAGACTAATTAGCCAGGTGCAGTGACAAAATCTTTGTATGTGTTGACAAATAACAGAATTGCAGGGTAAGAAAATTAGGGA